TGCCTCAAACACTGCTGTCAGCTACCTATTTTCTCCCATTCTATGACACTAGCCCAGGTTTCTCCCATACTACTACCAGATTCCTGGTTCTTAACACACTACTGCTAACTCACTGGTTCCTCGCATACTACTGCAAGGTCCTTGGTTCTTCATACACTAAAATCATCATCCTGGTTCTTCACGTACATCAGTGCTAGCTCCCTGGTTATTTACACACCTCTCTCTACTGTAGACACCTGGTTCCTTAAACATTATTGCCCACTACTTACCGGCTCCCTGGTTCCTCAGCCTAGAAACACTGCCTAGTTTTTGGCACATCACTTTTAGCTCACAGGGTCCTGACACTACGGAAGACTCCTTGGTAACTAACACACTATTACCACTTGCCTGGCTCCTCACACACTGCTGCTTGCTCCCTGGCTCCTCAAATGTTATTGCAATCTTGTCTTCCAAAGCACTTTTGCCAGTTCTCTGGTTCCCCACCCACTACTGTAAACTGATGGATTCCTCACACACACACACACACACACACACACACACACACACACACACACACACACAAGTAGCGATCAGTGAAGAGGAGGGGCCAGGAGCTCGGACTCGACCCCCGCAACCTCAACTAGGTGAGTACAACTAGGTGAGTATACACACACACACACACACACACACACACACACACACACACACACACACCACTGGCAGGGTCGTGTTTCCTCTTCAACAAGTGCCAGCTACCTTGTCCTTCGCAAACAAAATCCAAGTCATGGGTTACTCACACATTTTCTGCTCCTTCTTTCTTAACATCCTTGTTCCATTTCTCTGGTTCCTCACAACAATTGCCAGTTCCTGTTCCTTAACCCCAATGGAAATAAGTCACTCTGTCTGACTTTTTTGGGTTATCCTAGGTTCTCTACACATATGCTGCTATGTATGATAATTCTATGTAACTGTATTTGTGTATACCTGAATAAACTTACTTACTTACTTACTGTCGGCTCCCTCTTTCGTCACTCACCACTGCCAGCGCGTAGCTTTTTCACCACTACTGCTATTTTCCTGGTTCCACACATATTGCTGCCAATCATGAGTTCATCGCTAACTATTTCTCGCTCATACACAGTTGACAGCTCCTTGGTTCTTCACACATCGCTGTCAGTTCATGAGTTTCTTAAGCAATATTGAAAGCTCCACGATTCCTCACACGCTGCTGCCACCTCATTGTTCCTTCCATACTATTACTAGCTCCCTGTTCCTCACTCTCATTACTGCCATCCTTTTCGCGTCCTCATACACTAGATTCAGCTCCCCGTTTCCTAACATATTTTTTCCCATCTCATGGATTCCATGGCTAACTGCCCGGTTCCTTTCACAAGCTACAGTTACCTTCTCAGATCTTTACTTACCTCTGCCAATTCTCTGGTTACCAATAAATTCTTGTCAGTTCAAGAACTAAAACACTCGTTACTGCTAGTTTTCTGGTTCGTACCCACTGCTGCTGGTTCACAGGATCCTCACTCACGCACTAATGCCTCTTTCCTGGTTCCTCAGACACTACTGCCACTTCAGGAACTCGCAAAAAACTGTTGCCAACACCCAGGTTCCTCAACCAATACTGTCAGCTCCATAATTCCTGCGTCACTCTTTCCAGTTTCATGGTTCCTCATTCACTATTACCAGTTCTTTGGTTCCTCACATACTACTGCCAGCTACTAGGTTCCCAGAACATTATAGCCAGCTCTGGCTTGTGAGTTTTAAGACTCACTTGTCATGGCTTCAAGTTATACCCGTTTCATGATTTGATTTTCCAGCTGTTTTCACATAGACTATCACCAGCTCCCTGATTTCTTCAATCAAATTATTGTCAGCTCCCTGGTTTGTTACACACTCTGCCTAGCTCCTTGGTTTGTTATACACTCTGCCTAGCTCCCTGGTTTGTTACACACTCTGCCTAACTTCCTGGTTTGTTACACACTCTGCCTAACTTCCTGGTTTGTTACACACTCTGCCTAACTTCCTGGTTTGTTACACACTCTGCCTAGCTCCTTGGTTTGTTATACACTCTGCCTAGCTCCTTGGTTTGTTACACACTCTGCCTAACTTCCTGGTTTGTTATATACTCTGCCTAGCTCCTTGGTTTGTTATACACTCTGCCTAGCTCCTTGGTTTGTTACACACTCTGCCTAGCTTCCTGGTTTGTTACACACTCTGGCTAGCTCCTTGGTTTGTTATATACTCTGCCTAGCTCCTTGGTTTGTTATACACTCTGCCTAGCTCCTTGGTTTGTTATACACTCTGCCTAGCTCCTTGGTTTGTTACACACTCTGCCTAGCTTCCTGGTTTGTTACACACTCTGCCTAGCTTCCTGGTTTGTTACACACTCTGCCTAGCTTCCTGGTTTGTTACACACTCTGGCTAGCTCCTTGGTTTGTTATATACTCTGCCTAGCTCCTTGGTTTGTTATACACTCTGCCTAGCTCCCTGGTTTGTTACACACTCTGCCTAGCTTCCTGGTTTGTTACACACTCTGCCTAGCTTCCTGGTTCCTAATATATGATAAATTCAATAAGCAATATTTTCTACACAACGTAGAGACAGTATTCTATACAACTTCTATTCAAAATGTCAAATACATGTTTGTGTAAGAGCGTGCACATTCATTTGCGTGTACATAAGCACAATTATAACAATACGTTGCTCTGTGTATGTGTACAATGTACACAGTTTTTGTGCAGTAAATACATCAATATATATATAAAGGAGTTAGACAACAAGGCATGAGCAAACTCAGCTCTGTCAGTATAATGCTCTGAACAGTATACAAAACACGCATGAACAAAAAACTAATCTGTTACAGAAAAAATTACGAAACTAATCTATTGTATATAACCACTAATAAGATACTAATTTATTGTAAAAAATACACAGACACTAAACTATTGGAAAAAATTACACACATGTTGGAAACTCTAATCTATTGTAAAAAAAAAAAAAACGCACATATACACAAAATTCTAATCTATTATAAAAAAAGCAGTCTGTCATTGAGTCCTTGAACAACACTATAATCAGCAGTCCTACAGAAAATAGTCCAATGGGCACTGTACCATGTTGGAATGATCTGAAAAAAACTCGACTACAAGGATCTACAGTGAGTTTAGGCGGGAGGTAAAACATGGCTCTTAGATAGGAAGCCTCTGTTGAGAGAGTAAATGATCATTAGCAATATTAAAAAAAATAATTAAGACAGGATGGTGTGCGAATTATCATATCTGGCACTGAAATCCCTCAACGCAAGCTGACTGCACTGACAACTGTGAATTTGGGAAAATAATTATAGCAGGATGGTGAGTCTTCATCTCTGCTGCTGAGATTCCACAACACAAAACCAATATTCGGATGATTTTGGGAATCTACCGTAAGTTTATATATTAATATGCATATCCTTATGAGCAAATTTCTGTTTGAACTGTTCATGTAATAAGCAATCCAATAAATTTTGTCAGAAATATTGACAGAAAAAGGGAGATGTAATTATTTACTTATTTTGTAGTTTAATCTTAGTTCCTTTCTCTTACGTGGAAGATACTAAGAGCTTCTGATGTACTGTACTGTTTCTCTCGCTTTACGCGAATTCACTATTATGCGAAGTCTTGTTTTTATCAGTAATTCCGTACAAGTGATGTACATTTATCATATGCGATCAATATAGTTCACAAAGCATACTCAAGACTCTTATTATCCTTGAATCATGAGTTGATTACTGGCGTCAAGACATATCTTGAAAGATATGAAAAAAGGTTGTGATGGCGCATGGTCGTAAAACCTGTGAGGGAAGAAGATCCTTGTGGCACGAGGTGAGAGAAACACTGAGAAAACTAAGTCTGTGATGCTTATCCTTCATCGATCTTATCAACTAGGATTTTTTCAACCATTTATTGTGAGAATTTCGTGTTTTTATTGATTTTTTTTATTGTTCACCTAAAATTACATGGAAGAACTTTAAACAAAATTTCCTTGTGTTAATTAAATAAGTAATAAAGGTGACCATTCCACCCAGACCAACAAAAAATTTCTTACAAAAATTAAATGTCATGTTTAATCTTGTTCGTGTTATATATACTGATTGTCAATATTTAGTTATTGTTCCCTTCACTACTTAAATTACATTCTTAGTATATAAATTTGTTTCATCAGATGTATATATACTGATCTACTAAAATTTGTTTTATTAATCAACTGAATTAGAGGATGTTCCATTATAAATGTTACTGTATTATACTTTTCTCGTTATCAACATCAACTCTCACTTTTACATAAGTTCTTCACATTAAATATAAAGTTTTATGGAGACTAATATTACATTACATTACCTATATTCTCAAGTTAACTCAGTTGCACTGCCACCAATCTTTATCACTATTTTCCTCATCTCACTTTCTCTTTAAATCTTTTAATTTATCTAAGCAGGGAAGATAATGCAGGCAGTTGCAAGCCTATCATCATCTGAGTTATTTTGTGCGAAAAAGTAGGCGAAAACACTGCCACAAATTAAATCCCAGCTCAAACAAGCAATAATTTTGATTAATTTTTATTCATCGCATGTAGCTGAAAGTGAAGTGTATTAATATTGTTGTGGCAGTTAAACAAAAATCTTTACAGATCTAAAAAAATATTTTAGACCATGAACCAACAAATCACAATTGCGAAATACCTAAACTAAATGGTATAAACGGTTAGTTAATCACTGAAAAATAAATGCTAATCTTAATTAAATCCTTGCATCAACAACAATATTCTAAATTGCTTACTAGAAACAATGACTTTTCTTAATGAAATACGGTACACAGCCTTAAATTAAAGTGCTACGTTATGTAGCCGTATTACTGGATAAAATTTTTTCTATCATCGGGAGATGTTAAGGTGTAGTACTTGGTGGCGTTTGAGGGAAGATCCTGACGGGTATGTTGGAAGTGAGGCACGAGGAACACTATACCACTAACCTGTGTAATGATATTAACTTGTAGGATAGGAATGCATAATTGAAGGTTCTGCTTGGTCCAGGTGAACAGGTCGAAGAAACAGGTGGTGAAAAGCTCATTGAGAATTCCTTGCTCGTGGTGCGGTCGGGTCTTTACCCACGCCTGGAACAGCGGCTGCCAGTCTAACCCAGAAGAGCTCATATAAACCTGTCGGAGACCTGACTGTCATTGTTTTCAAAATATTTGTACTGACATAGCTTACTTAAACTATACTTGAATTTCAGTGTGATTTACATCACTCCACCCTCAGTGACTCTCACGCACCACCCAGAATGACTTAATACACCACTCATAACTCACAACACGCCACTCACAGCTCATGCTACATTACCCAGAGCAATTCCGATCACATCAACTACGATTCACAGTACACAAACGAAAGTAATCCACGGCACATACGACTGTTCACTTACCATGCCATTCCTAGATACGGTAGCTGGGGAGGCATTATCGATGTTTGCTGGCTCGAAGATGACTTTGCAAGCAGGGGCCATGGGTATCCTGTCTCCATTGGCAAGAGTCAAAGTCCTATTGTCATCGAGGACTGAGTTGAGATTTTCAATCCATATGGCATCAACGGGCCCGTCCAATACTAGCCAGATGTGCTCCCCTGAAAGTCAACAGAATGTTGTGTAACCACAATACTGTATGGTAAGTTGTACTAGTTGATTAAATTTAATGCAATAAAAAAGTGCAAACCATTAATAGTGTGAATTAAAACCCATTACGTACGTATTCAGAATAAAGTTTGTTGGTCATTTTAATTAAGTTGAAGAGTTGAAGTCAAGAACAAATTAGGAATCATTCATCGTGTTTTGAATTTTCTCATGAATATTGCATTAGTATGTATTATTTTTAATCTAAATTAATAAAGTGAAGATTCATTGCCATTTGTGATGAATGAACACCTCGACAATATCAACAATGATGCTGTTGTAAGTCTGTCAAACACTGACCGATGACTCTTGAAACAAGTGTTACGAGACTAGCAGTTATTGGAGCTAAAAAAAGAGGTTTTCCATTTTCAGTAATCTACAAGAGTTTGAATACTGTCCATCATCAACCCAAACTGAATTAAACGTCTATAAGTTAGTTATTGAGGATGTAATCAAAATCAACTAAGTAATAGTCTCAGAATCAATATCAAAACTATTCACTCTATACTCAGCAATATACCTGGAGATACCTGGAGATACCTGGAGATACCTGGAGATACCTGGAGAGGGTTACGTGGGTCAGCGCCCCCGAGGCCCGGTCTGTGACCAAGTCTCATTAAAAATAATGTAGAGCATATAAAATCAAGTATGAAAAATAATTATGAAAGTACAAAATATTAATAAAATTTATAGTGAGAACCTGTCATGTGAACGTTAGAGAAAATGATTCAAGGAGTGAGGCAGAAGTGATGTATGGAGTGAGGCAGAAGTGACGCATGAAGTGGGACAGAAGACATGCATGGAGTGAGGCAAAATTGATGATTGAATGAGGCAGAAGTGATGTATGGAGTGAGGCAGAAGTGATGTATGGAATGAGGCAGAAGTGATGTATGGAATGAGGCAGAAGTGATGTATGGAGTGAGGCAGAAGTGATGCATGGAGTGAGCCAGAAATAGAGAATGGATTGAGAGAGAAGTGATGCATGGAGTGAGCCAGAAGTGATGCATGGAGTGAGCCAGAAGTGATGCATGGAGTGAGGCAGAAGTGATGCATGGAGTGAGGCAGAAGTGATGCATGGAGTGAGGCAGAAGTGATGCATGGAGTGAGGCAGAAGTGATGCATAGAGTGAGAGAGAAGTGATGCATGGAGTGAGGCAGAAGAGATGCATGAAGTGAGGCAGAAGTGATGCATGGAGTGAGCTAGAAGTGATGCATGGAGTGAGCCAGAAGTGATGCATTGAGTGTGAGAGAAGTAATGCATGAAGTGAGGCAGAAGAGATGCATGAAGTGAGGCAGAAGTGATGCATGGAGTGAGAGAGAAGTGATGCATGAAGTGAGGCAGAAGAGATGCATGAAGTGAGGTAGAAATGATGCATGGAGTGAGCCAGAAGTGATGTATTGGGTGAGCCAGAAGTGATGCATGGAGTGAGGCAGAAGTGATGCATGGAGTGAGGCAGAAGTGATGCATGGAGTGAGCCAGAAGTGATGCATGGAGTGAGGCAGAAATGATGCATGGAGTGAGGCAGAAGTGATGCATGTAGTGAGCCAGAAGTGATGAATGGAGTGAGCCAGAAGTGATGCATGGTGAGAGAGAAGTGATGCATGGAGTGAGGCAGAAGTGATGCATGGAGTGAGCCAGAAGTGATGCATAGAGTGAGCCAGAAGTGATGCATGGAGTGAGGCAGAAGTGATGCATGGAGTGATGCATGGAGTGAGCCAGAAGTGATGCATGGAGTGAGCCAGAAGTGATGCATGGAGTGAGGCAGAAGTGATGAATGGAGTGAGGCAGAAGTGATGCAAGGAGTGAGTCAGAAGTGATGCATGGAGTGAGCCAGAAATAATGAATGGAGTGAGAGAGAAGTGATGCATGGAGTGAGCCAGAAGTGATGCATGGAGTGAGAGAAAAGTGATGCATGGAGTCAGGCAGAAATCATGCATGGAGTGAGGCAAAAGTGATACATGGAGTGAGGCAGAAGTGATGCATGGAGTGAGCCAGAAGTGATGCATGGAGTGAGGCAGAAGAGATGCATGAAGTGTAGCAGAAGTGATGCATGGAGTGAGCCAGAAGTGATGCATGGAGTGAGCCAGAAGTGATATATGGAGTGAGCTAGAAGTGATGCATGGAGTGAGCCAGAAGTGATGCATGGAGTGAGCCAGAAGTGATGCATGGAGTGAGCCAGAAGTGATGCATGGAGTGAGGCAGAAGTGATGCATGGAGTGAGCCAGAAGTGATGCATGGAGTGAGGCAGAAGTGATGCATGGAGTGAGGCAGAAGTGATGCATGGAGTGAGCCAGAAGTGATGCATGGAGTGAGGCAGAAGTGACGCATGGAGTGAGCCAGAAGTGATGCATGGAGTGAGGCAAAAGTGATACATGGAGTGAGGCAGAAGTGATGCATGGAGTGAGGCAGAAGTGATGCATGGAGTGAGGCAGAAGTTATGCATGGAGTGAGAGAAAAGTGATGTATGGAGTGAGGCAGAAGTGATGCATGGAGTGAGGCAGAAGTGATGCATGGAGTGAGCCAGAAGTGATGCATGGAGTGAGGCAAAAGAGATGCATGGAGTGAGGCAGAAGTGATGCATGGAGTGAGGCAGAAGTGATGCATGGAGTGAGGCAGAAGTTATGCATGGAGTGAGAGAAAAGTGATGTATGGAGTGAGGCAGAAGTGATGCATGGAGTGAGAGAGAAGTGATGCATGAAGTGAGGCAGAAGAGATGCATGAAGTGAGGCAGAAGTGATGCATGGAGTGAGCCAGAAGTGATGTATTGGGTGAGCCAGAAGTGATGCATGGAGTGAGGCAGAAGTGATGCATGGAGTGAGGCAGAAGTGATGCATGAAGTGAGGAAGAAGTGTTGCATGGAGTGAGGCAGAAGTGGTGGATGGAGTGAGGCAGAAGTGATGTATGGAGTGAGGCAGAAGTGATGCATGGAGTGAGAGAGAAGTGATGCATGAAGTGAGGCAGAAGAGATGCATGAAGTGAGGCAGAAGTGATGCATGGAGTGAGCCAGAAGTGATACATGGAGTGAGAGAGAAGTGATGCATGAAGTGAGGCAGAAGAGATGCATGAAGTGAGGCAGAAGTGATGCATGGAGTGAGCCAGAAGTGATACATGGAGTGAGCTAGAAGTGATGCATGGAGTGAGCCAGAAGTGATGCATGGAGTGAGCCAGAAGTGATGTATGGAGTGAGGCGGCAGAAGTGATGCATGGAGTGAGCCAGAAGTGATGCATGGAATGAGGCAGAAGTGATGCATGGAGTGAGGCAGAAGTGATGCATGTAGTGAGCCAGAAGTGATGCATGGAGTGAGCCAGAAGTGATGTATGGAGTGAGGCGGCAGAAGTGATGCATGGAGTGAGCCAGAAGTGATGCATGGAGTGAGCCAGAAGTGATGCATGGAATGAGGCAGAAGTGATGCATGGAGTGAGGCAGAAGTGATGCATGTAGTGAGCCAGAAGTGATGAATGGAGTGAACCAGAAGTGATGCATGGTGAGGGAGAAGTGATGCATGGAGTGAGGCAGAAGTGATGCATGGAGTGAGCCAGAAGTGATGCATAGAGTGAGCCAGAAGTGATGCATGGAGTGAGGCAGAAGTGATGCATGGAGTGAGGCAGAAGTGATGCATGGAGTGAGTCAGAAGTGATGCATGGAGTGAGCCAGAAATAATGAATGGAGTGAGAGAGAAGTGATGCATGGAGTGAGGCAGAAGTGATGCATGGAGTGAGCCAGAAGTGATGCATAGAGTGAGCCAGAAGTGATGCATGGAGTGAGGCAGAAGTGATGCATGGAGTGAGCCAGAAGTGATGCATAGAGTGAGCCAGAAGTGATGAATGGAGTGAGCCAGAAGTGATGCATGGAGTAAGCCAGAAGTGATGCATGGAGTGAGGCAGAAGTGATGCATGGAGTGAGTCAGAAGTGATGCATGGAGTGAGCCAGAAATAATGAATGGAGTGAGAGAGAAGTGATGCATGGAGTGAGCCAGAAGTGATGCATGGAGTGAGAGAAAAGTGATGCATGGAGTCAGGCAGAAGTGATGCATGGAGTGAGGCAAAAGTGATACATGGAGTGAGGCAGAAGTGATGCATGGAGTGAGGCAGAAGTGATGCATGGAGTGAGCCAGAAGTGATGCATGGAGTGAGGCAGAAGAGATACATGAAGTGTAGCAGAAGTGATGCATGGAGTGAGCCAGAAGTGATGCATGGAGTGAGCTAGAAGTGATGCATGGAGTGAGCCAGAAGTGATGCATAGAGTGAGCCAGAAGTGATGCATGGAGTGAGGCAGAAGTGATGCATGAAGTGAGGCAGAAGTGGTGCATGGAGTGAGGCAGAAGTGATGCACTGAGTGAGGCAGAAGTAATGCATGGAGAGAGAGAGAAGTGATGCATGGAGTGAGGCAGAAGAGATGCATGAAGTGTAGCAGAAGTGATGCATGGAGTGAGCCAGAAGTGATGCATGGAGTGAGCTAGAAGTGATGCATGGAGTGAGCCAGAAGTGATGCATGGAGTGAGCCAGAAGTGATGCATGGAGTGAGCCAGAAGTGATGCATGGAGTGAGGCAGAAGTGATGCATATATTGAGCCAGAAGTGATGCATGGAGTGAAGCAAAAGTGATACATGGAGTGAGGCAGAAGTGATGCATGGAGTGAGGCAGAAGTGATGCATGGAGTGAGGCAGAAGTTATGCATGGAGTGAGAGAAAAGTGATGTATGGAGTGAGGCAGAAGTGATGCATGGAGTGAGGCAGAAGTGATGCATGGAGTGAGCCAGAAGTGATGCATGGAGTGAGGCAAAAGAGATGCATGGAGTGAGGCAGAAGTGATGCATGGAGTGAGGCAGAAGTGATGCATGGAGTGAGGCAGAAGTTATGCATGGGAGTGAGAGAGAAAGTGATGCATGGAGTGAGGCAGAAGTGATGCATGGAGTGAGGCAGAAGTGATGCATGGAGTGAGCCAGAAGTGATGCATTGAGTGAGGCAGAAGTGATGCATGGAGTGAGCCAGAAGTGATGCATGGAGTGAGGCAAAAGTGATACATGGAGTGAGGCAGAAGTGACGCATGGAGTGAGACAGAAGTGATGCATGGAGTGAAGCAGAAGTTATGCATGGAGTGAGAGAAAAGTGATGTATGGAGTGAGGCAGAAGTGATGCATGGAGTGAGGCAGAAATGATGCATGGAGTGAGCCAGAAGTGATGCATGGAGTGAGGCAAGAGAGATGCATGGAGTGAGGCAGAAGTGATGCATGGAGTGAGGCAGAAGTGATGTATGGAGTGAGGCAGAAGTGATGTATGGAGTGAGGCAGAAGTGACGCATGGAGTGAGGCAGAAGTGATGCATGGAGTGAGGCAGAAGAGATGCATGGAGTGGGGCAGAAGTGTTGCAAGGAGTGAGGCAGAAGTGATGCATGGAGTGAGGCAGAAGTGTTGCATGGAGTGAGGCAGAAGTGTTGCATGGAGTGAGGCAGAAATGTTGCTTGGAATGAGGGAGAAATGTTGCATGAAGTGAGGCAGATGACTTGCATGGAGTGAGACAGAAGTTATGCATGAAGCGAGGCAGAAGTGTTTTGTGGAGTTGAGCAGAAATGATGCATGGATTGAGGCAGAAGTGTTGCATGGAATAGTGCAAGAGTTATGCATGGAGTGAGGCAGAAGTGATGCTTGGAGTGAGGCAGAAATGTTGCATGGAGTGAGGCAGAAGTGATGCATGGAATGAGTCAGAAGTGTTGCATTGAGGCAGAAATGTTGCATGGAGTGAGGCAGAAACATTTCATGGTGTGAGGCAGAAGTGATGCATGGAGTGAGTCAGAAGTGTTATATGGAATGAGGCAGATGATTAAAATTACAGTACTTATTCAAATCCACAAATAATATCAATAATATCTTGGCATGAATATTTTAAACCAAATTATACAATAATTTATTGACTAAATAATATAAAGTTCTGAGCACTTGATTCCCAAGTACAGAAGGTACAATGATGCATTATGTTTATAGTGACACTTAATACATATAAAATATAATGATACCTTATACTTTCCGTCCTGTGACCAGGTCTAAGGATCAAAACGTATCCCCCCAAACAGTCCTGAGTGTACGCACTTGTGTCCTCCATCAGCATTTCCTTTAGCCAGAACACCATACATCATACAGTAGGGTTGAGGTAAATGCGTTCTCCAGAAAACATATAAGAGTTGGCTAAAGCTCCCGCTTCACACACGGAGGGCCCGGGTTCGATTCCAGGCGGGTGGAAACATTTCGACACGTTTCCTTACACCTGTTGTCCTGTTCACCTAGCAGCAAATAGGTACCTGGGTGTTAGTCGACTGGTGTGGGTCGCATCCTGGGGGACAAGATTAAGGACCCCAATGGAAATAAGTTAGACAGTCCTCGATGACGCACTGACTTTCTTGGGTTATCCTGGGTGGCTAACCCTCCGGGGTTAAAAATCCGAACGAAATCTTATCTTAACACGTTCTGGACACTTCTGTCAGTATCCCTCTGACCCAGACTCTTCGAGCTCCAGTGATTTCACTAACCTCATATCTTCTTTCACTCCCATGAGTTTCTATATGCACCCATTTTTTAGTCTTCATTATAACTTGATGAAGGTCTTACCGGATGGAAATGTTGTCACAGTAAAAGCTTCTTTCAGAAAGTTGGTCTTTTCTTTACTTTATGATAAAGTTGATAATATCAATAGCAAATCAACAATTTGCGCTGTCTTCGTAGAGGGAATTTGTTTATTGACATGATGAATAGCTTCGTAAATAACTTATCACTTCAGGGAAAGCATATATATGAATTGAAAATATGTTCTAACTCAGTGCTCACCAATCGAAATGTTACACCAAATTGTTACACAGGATCTCAAAATATCATACATCATATACCAAATTTACACAGTATATAATGTCAAACATGCAACTCACAGTATCCTAGAAAACTAAGTTAACTACTAATTGTATAATTGTTCGGTAGTTGTAAGTTAATTTTAAGGCTTCCCGAAATGTTCTGCATAACAAGGGGCTTTCTGTAAAGATACCCCTCAAGGAAAGTTCCTTGATGTTGGTGAGGGGCTCTTGATTTAGGGAATTGGATCTGTGCTCCAGTTCCCCGAATTAAGCCTGAATGCCTTCCACATCCCCCCCCCCCAGGCGCTGTATAATCCTCCGGGTTTAGCGCTTCCCCCTTGATTATAATAATAATTTCTGTAAAGATGTTTATGCATGTCAATTACTCCTATAACAATTGTATACCATACTATACTTCATAGTAATAAAATTATGATTGTACTGTGTCTAATTCTGGCCCTCACTCCCTGTACTCGTTTTTCCTCTCTCTCTCTCTCTCTCTCTCTCTCTCTCTCTCTCTCTCTCTCTCTCTCTCTCTCTCTCTCTCTCTCTCTCTCTCTCTCTCTCTCTCTCTCCCCTCGTGTTATTTTTCTCACCCCAAAATCTTTCACATATTTTGCTTATTTCCTCTGACCTTTCTTAGCCTTGAGTGTCTTCCTCCACAGAGTAGAAAAAATCCCATCTGTCCAGTCGTTAGTGGCAACATCAAGGCGGCCGAACATCTGCGCTGAGGTGATGGCCTTGGGGTTCATTCTCAGTTCCCTGAAAAAAAAACAGACATATACATACTCTTTCTTTGCTTAATAATGCAAATTAAATTTGTTTCTCTATACTGAGATACTGTTTGTATTTACAAATTAGGCTGTTTATGCAAATTACATATGTGTATGTTTCGACAAATGCAGTATAACTGTACATATATCCTGCTGAATGTACTGTGAAAATATATAATTATTATTGCTATCCATGCGAGGTGCTAAATTTATGTAAGTTAATTAAAGCAAGGAGAGGTGGAGACCAGAGTCTCTGCCAGATAGAAGCACCATCTGACTGCTCACCAGCTGATCTGACTGTATTGAAACCCAGGGAGCTGGCAAATGTTGGAACCCAGGGAGCTGACAGTATTAGAACCCAGCCAGCTGCCAATATTAGAAGCCATGGAGCTGGCAGTATTGGAACCTAGGGAGCTGCCAATGTTGGAACCCAGGGAGCTGTCATTATTAGAACCCAGGGAGCTGCCAATATTGGAACCCACTAACTATGATTCTGATGACATGGACGAACTTGCGTGTCTTCATGTTCGGTACAACAACCCCGGTGGACCACTAGTTGAGTCCGTAAGTGATGAACCTGTCAAGCTCTTCCTTAATTCAGGTTCTGTTGTGAACACTGCCCATTCTAATTTCTTCCATGACATTGGCCTGCATGCAGACATGTTGACCAAATCGTCATAAATTCGAACCCTGTGTGGTGTCTCGAGTAGTTCCCTGACGGTATGGGGTACTACCCGAAGTTCAAGGGAATAAATTATTGGCAAAATTCCCTGCAGATTTACTCATTGCTCTGAAGACCATGGAGGACCTTAAGATACGCTTCTATCCAGCTGCCTGAAAAGCGAATTTCATTGGTGTTAATGTGCCCTTTTTGGGCATGTACATAGGATCCACCATGGTCCACGTAGTCTCTGAGGATGTCTAGTGTCTGGAAACCTTCGAAACAGAGGATTTCTGCAGCAGCAAGCTCTCTGAGAGGATGGACTCTTGCTCTGACCATGAGAGAGTTCGTGTCGCTTCACATCGAGTAGAAAACAGTCTGGGGATGCTCAGTCTAACTTCAACTCTAACTCCAAGTCTGATTGAAAGGGTGATATTAGACAAATCGCAGTATCCCTGCTGACAGGCGACTATCTGATTCACGCCATGGCTTCAGAGAGCAAAGATATAATCTGTACAAAGTATGACGTCAATTTGTCAGCTAACTCGTTCACTCCAATAACCGTGTATGTGAACAACTGTCAACTATCACGTGGTCTCAGAGGAGATCAACTGCTAATCAACAGTGATACGTGCAAAGTCAAGGGTGTTTCTCGAACATCCTTGCAACCTGTATGTGGCATGCAGAGAGTACATTACATTTATTCGGAGTATGTACACACTCATATAGGCTGCCTCCAAACCAGCGAACTGGTGATAAGGGTTTAACTATTCAAAGGGCTTCATCGTTAAATCAGTACCTTGGTTCAGCCAATCATATTGTGGGTCTGACAATTGCGAATGTGATGTGGTCTCTGTTTTTGGCTGTTGTCCTTGCCTCTTGATCACTGTGATACTATTAATTTCCAAACTTGTACATAGTATACATAGTTGTAAATACCTCTAATCATACTAGATGAAGGATAATATAATTTAAAGACTTACTGCTGTGTTTATTTTCGCTCCAAGCTCCCATTACGGCCAGGTTAACAGGCCTTGATTACCTGAAACCGTAATATGGAGGCCTGTCCGGGAGCTTTAGCTGGACTTAGCAGGAGCTGGAGCTTAGAAAAGAAGCTGAAGCAGGAGCTAGTCTGAATCGTTTGGATAGCTTGCTATCTGGCATTGCATCAGCTTTACCATCGTTTCCGATTATTGCGTGTCAACTTTGCAGTCACTTCGCTATTGTCAGCCTTGCTATGGTGTGTGAATGTTCTGCAGTAGGCTTCGTTATTGCATGTCAGTCATGCTATTGTGTGTGAGTATCCTGCAGTCGTACTGTGCTTAGCTGATTGAGCGTGCATTCCAAACAACGTGTTGCGTTGGGGTTAATGCCACCTATACAAGTCAGACGATTGGTGTCTGAGTTCACTTTACTAAACTTGCGCAAACTTTCTCTACAGCATTGTTGGCGAATTGCTCGTTCTATTGGTATTGACTATGAAAACACTCCTACTGCTGCGCAGCTTCATGACATTCGTACAAAATATGAAAGCTGAGGCAGCCATGGCACACAGGATTGACGTTTCTCCATTTACAGGAGCAGTTAGTAGCAGATCTCTGCTTAGATTCTTGCAGAATAATGGGAGAGACGCAACACCTGAACACTCAAACCAGCAATCTCATGAAACAACCGGTGCCTTGGGGTTGTCTAAAGGCGAGTCAGTTTCACTGGCACTTGAGTTAACAAAAATCAATCTTGAACAGACCAGGGAACAACGAGTGTATGCTAAGGAAGAGTTTGATAGAGAGAAACAGAGAAGGCAATTTAAGCTAACTGTAGATGACTTTAGTTTGCAAAAGGCAGCGCAGCTAATTCCTCGTTTTGTTGAAACCCAACCTGAACAGTTTTTCGAGGCATTTGAAAACCAGGCTCGAGCTTTAAGGTGGCCTGAAGTGCATTGGGCAGTACTGGTGCATACAGCATTGTTTGGTAAGGCACAGGAGTTTACATGTTTGTTAAATAACGATGATTTTGGTAACTATTGGGTGGTGAAAACTACTGTTCTGGGGGCTTATCAGCGTATTCCCACTAAATGCAGAAAAGAATTTAAGCTAGGTATACGACAGCTGAGTTAGTCTTAAGTTGATTTTGTATACCAAGTGGTATAAGGCAAGTAGTGTCGCTAACTTTGGGGACCTGGTACAATTACTCTTGGTGGTTAACTTACTGGAATCTGTTGGACCAGAGGTCCGCAACTTCCTTCAAGATCATTTGTTGGCTAATGCATTGGAAGCAGCCAGATTGGCTGATACTTTTGAAACTAACTGCTCCTTGTCTGAGCGGTCTTATCTTTCTCCTCAAAAGCCTGGCATGAGCAGAGATCCTCAATGAAGACTTCCTGATTGAGGATGAAGTGCCAGGATAAAGGTGAACGATGATGTCAGCTTACTAAGTCACCTGATGAGCCAGGTGACTTGGTCAACCTGGTGAGCGACATCATACCACTCAATTTGGTGAGCCACGACATCAGTATCCAGAGTGGCATAAGACACAACATCAGCAGGGAACCAAGGTTTAACCTGAGGTAATGTGTTTTCTTTGCCATAAACCTGGCCATGTGAGACCCAATTACCCACTTAAACTCCAACCAGTAGGGAGAATTATTAATATCCCTATGGAAATGAACCAGGAAGAGGTAGAATGCAGGATGGCCCTGTATTATAGTACTTCTCAAATCTCCCTTCAGGAGAAGTCAAAGAAAAAGGAAGTACGAACATTTAGAGGTACCAGGGCATATTGCTCTTTAAAACGAGAGGGAGTACTTCCCCTCTCTGAGTAAATTTCATTATCCTCCTTAGTTCTTTTAGAAGCATTTGGAGGAGCAGTAGTTTCTGTCCCTTTTCATAAAATATATGTGCAGAGTAAATATTACACTGGATATTTGACTGTAAGTGTTTCGGACGGATTTCCTATGAAAGATGCTGTGTTATTACTAGGTAACAGCATTAATTCTACTAAGTGTACAGAACCTATAATGCCTAATTCTTCTCCGATGTTGGCCGTAACTCAGGCAAAATCCCAAGAGGTATCTGATGAGAAAGCTAACCCATCCTTGGACGACTCTGATCTCGGAATAGCCAATTTGTTTTACGAGGAAAACTGGCCAGGGCCTCCTAAATTTAGTGAACAGACCCAGACCAAGCCTTCCTACTCCAGGGTTGCAGGATTGCCAGATGTCTCTGTTTCCATGCCCTAGGGACTGTCCTTTCGGGAGGAACAGCGAAAAGATCCTTCTTTAAAGTAAGCTTTTCAGATTGCCAGGGGTGAATCTCACTCAGATCACCCAGTCAAATATAAAATTAAAAAAGACTTAATCTGCACAGAGACTGGTAAGGAGGTAGAAGGAAGGCAAAAGACAGATAGACTGGTAGTTCCTAAAAAGCTTAGAGCACAAATAATAAATATAGCTCACAATTCTTCGTTAGGAATTACCAAGACCTTGCATAGAATATTAAAGAGTCTTACTGGCCAAAGATAAGGCAAGATGTGAAAAAATCACATCCGCTGTTGTTGTTAATGTCAGTACGTAGGACAACCTGGACATCCCATTAAACCTGCACCTCTCCATCCCATACCCGCAGATGGAGAACCTTTTGCAGAGTTAATCACTGATTGTGTAGGTTCATTACCTAATTGCAAGTCTGGGAACCAGTACATATTCTCTATTATGGACAAAGTTACTAGGTATGCAGAAGCAATCCCAGTGCGCAGTATCAACACCAAAGCCATTCTTAAAGCCCTAACTAAATTTATCTCCTGCTATGGCATTCCTAAGTCTATTCAGAGTGACCAAGGTACTAATTTTACTGCCAAATCGTTTATGGAAGCATTAACTAGTCTAGGAATAATTCATAAATTATCCGCTGCCTATCATCCTCAGTCCCAAGGCTCTTTGGAAAGATTTCATCAAACATTAAAAACCATGATGAAAACTTATTGTATGCATTTTCCTGCAGATTTGGATGTATCACTTCCTCTGTTTCTGTTTGCAATGAGAGAAACTGTGCAGGAGTCCACAGGGTACAGTCCGTTTCAGCTAATCTTTAGGCACAAAATACGACGTCCTCTGCGAGTGCTTAAGGAAGGATGGATGAGATAAGACGCCTGCATAACACTCTACAACCATTCCTCAAGGTTGCAGGTGGCACGTCAGTTGGCTAAGGCTAACTTAAAAACAGCTCAAAACATTATGAAACAGAGGAATGACAGAAACTCAGTTTCGCTCCTTCAGTCCAGGAGACAAGGTGTTGGTGCAGGAACCTCTACCTGGCCACACCTTAAAAGCT